TGTGGGGGGGGGGGGGGTAATAGCTATTCAGTGTCAGATTTCTCTAGTTCCTTTTACATTCAGGAAGTGATTAAACCAAGATTAGTAACATGTGTTAGTTATACAGTATTTACACTATACTTAGGATCCCATCCAACTAGACTTTACTCTCTTAACAATTATGTGTGTTTAGCATTATCAGCACGTCTTTTTACTCTCTTAACAATTATGTGTGTTTTTAGCCATTCAAAGCTAGTTTCCACTTTATCATGCTAAAAGGTTAACCTGACCATAAAGGATAAGCTTGCAAAATGTTTCAAATCGTTTATAGGCTGTCAATAAAACTGTTGATTAATAGTGGAATGTAATGTATATCGCTTATCTTCAATTTATGAATGGGTGGAGTGGACCTTGAAATTCGTAACCTGAAGTCCTGTACCCACATTTCTTTGGTTTAGTCTCTTGTGTTTTTGTTTTAAAAAAGAAATTCTCCTTATTGATAGTGATCGTTCAATAGCATGATGTTTTCTCTCTTGGTTCTTGAATAGTACCTGCGATCATGAACCACAAGCCATGGCTTTGGAGGAAAAGATCTATGGAGAAAACAATCTTTGCAGCGGACAAAGTTGTCAGTCCTTCTAGACCCATTGAAGAAGAGGTACTCAAAACTTGCTCATTTTTATATGTTTCTGTTTTCTGCAAATCAGAAACCAGTTATGCCTCTATCCTCTGCTTAGTTTTGCTAAGTGTTGATCTAGCAAATACTATAAATGAATTCATAAAAGAAATGCTCGATCTGATTACTATACTGACAGTACTATATTTTTTTATGTACACAAACTTCCAACAAATAAGGATGGATTAGAAAGATCATCAAAAAGTTTAAATGAGAAGTTGGCAACAGTCCTCCTTGATTCTCATTCTGGAGATGACCCTTTAGCAAAACATGTCCAAAAGCCCCAACAGGAAATTAGAGGTATCCTAATTTCACATTTCCCTTCAACTTATCTCATTATTATGGTGCTTCTTTTGGACAAAACTTAAGTATAGTACTTACAGTATTAGTTGGTGTTGTTTTTTTAATTAAAATTGGAGTTTCACCTTAATAATATGCATAATAAAATATTCCACAAAATATAAATGTTGATTACCAATGTAAAATTTTAATTCTGATTGAAGAACAACACTAACAATATTTATGGTACCCTATCTAAGTTTTGCCTGTTTCTTTTTTAATACATGTTTTTTGCTTGTGCTCTCGTCTTCTTATTTTGGGCATACAACTTGGTTTTGGCTGATCCTACTAAATTTCTGACAAAAATTTAGGCAAGGACAAGACACAACATCAAGTAGAATCTGTTGAAGACTTGGGTGAAAAAGCATCTGCCGAGACTGTTTCTTCTGCAGACACAACGTTGCAGGAACCTTTGCAGCCACCAAGCTGTGATCAAGAAGAACAAAAGCAAAAGTTGTGTAGTGCCATTCCAAAGATATCAAAAGAGCATGAGAAGATTCAGAAAGAATTGGAAGAAAAGTTGAGGGAAACAAGTAAGAGGATAGATGACTTAACTGCTGAGAACACTCATCTATCTAATGCCTTGCTAACCAAAGAGAAATCAATTGGGGACCTGGTTAAATGTAAACAAGAAACAGATGCTGAGTTTAGTACATTGATGGCTAGGCTAGACAACACAGAAAAGGAAAATTCTTTCTTAAGATATGAGTTTCACGTGCTGGAGAAGGAAATTGAGATCCGGAAAGAGGAGATGGATTATAGCCGTCAGTATGCAGATGCATCACATAAACAGTACCTTGAGTGTTCTCAGAAAGCCTCAAAGTTAGAAGCCGAGTGTCAGAAACTCCGTCTTTTGCTACAAAAAAGATCACCTGGTTCTGCTGGTTTGGTGAATATGAAGAATGAGGTTGGAGTGATGAGAAGAAGAAAGCCAAATCCTACCAGAGAATTGATCTACAAAAAAAATGATATTGGAAACTCTCCTTATGTGTCTGAGAAAAGTTTTGGCTTGATGATCAAGCGTTTGCAAGATATGGATGAGGAAAACAAAGCTCTTAAAAGAATTTTAAACAACAAAAACTCTGAACTAGAATCTTCAAGACTTATGTATGCTGAAACAGCTTCAAGATTATCCCAGGCTGAGATTCTGCTTAGAAAGATTTCTGAAAATCAGAAGTCTATGGAGCTGGCTAGGTGTTATCCCACATCAAATGAACTTTCTTTGATGTCAAATTTTGAAATTTATAGTGATGATGAGGCTATCTCTTCTGGATCCTGGGCTAATGCTCTTATTTCAGAACTTGAACATTTAAGAACTTCGGAGGCTAAAATTCATAAAAGCAGTAATGAAGTTCCATACATGAGTTGCATGGATGATTTTGTTGAGATGGAAAAACGAGCTATAGTTTCTATTGATACACCTAAAAGAGGATGCTTCTCTGATATAAGTGGTAGGGAGTTAGTGCCAGTTCAGCAAGATCATCTTGGCTTCAGTGAGAGGAAACAGGAGATTCAATTCAAAAATGTGACTGAAAAATCATTTGACTGGCTTCAGATTGTTTTGAATGCAATCTTGGAGGAGAAATTCATATCAAAACGAAGTCTTTATGAACTGCTTGATGACATAAAAATTGCTTTGGATTGCATAAATCACCCAACTGCTTGTAAATCTGAGACAACTAAGAAGTCAAGGCATCCAGGAGAATCTGATTCTTTTAGTTTCAATGATTTTGCAGAAGCAGAAAGCAATCGACACATTAATTCTAATTTGAGAAAGTCACTCCAAAGAATTATCAACCTCATTGAAGGAATTGCTCCCAAGTCGTTTATATGCAACAATTGTCCTGGCTGCTTGGAAGAGAATAAGCATTCAGACACATCCCAATCACCAACATCCAAAGATTATTTTGTTCATGTTTTCCAATGGAAGGTTTCAGACTTAAATCCTCTCTTGCATCAACTTGTTCACACCTGCAAAGATTTGTTAACAGGGAAAGCTGATTTTGAAATTTTCATTGAGGAACTGGCATTTGCTTTGGACTGGAGCATTAATAACTGTGCCACCTCCACAAATGCTGCAATTGCAAGGGATAAGATCAAGAAGCATTTTAGCACTCATTTCTCACAAAATGAAAATAAAATAGATGTTGAAGATAAACAGTCTTCTCGCTCACCCTCATTTGCATATCCTGATGATCAATGTGAGCTCTTCAACGCAAAGAATAATCAGAATGATCTCCTTGAAGAAATTAGAAAATTAAAAGATGATTTGAGGAGCACAAAAACTGCGAAGAAAGACTTGGAAGAAAAGCTGGTATCAGTAACTGATGAGAGTCAGAACTTGACAAAACAATGTCAAGAAGCACAAAATAACATCAGAGGTCTAGAATCAGAAATAGAGTCATTGAAAGAAGCCAAGGAAACAATAGAAGATCAGATTGAGAAACAAAAGATCATAAGTGAAGATCTTGATACACAGCTTACAATAGCTCAGGCCAAGTTAAATGACATTTTCCAAAAATTTTCGTCTTTAGAAGTTGAATTAGAGGATAAAAAGAACTCCTGTGAGGAATTAGAAGCAACATGCCTAGAGCTTCAACTCCAGCTGGAGAGGTAATGATACCCTTTCCCTTTTATTGTTTCTCTTTCTAGTCTTACTGCGTTTTACTTTTGCCATGCACAATGAATCTGATGTTGAGAACATGAAAAAATCTTATCAGCATTGCAAAGAAAGAATCTCCAACATATGGCAGATACGAAGTAGAAAAGATATATCAAACTGTAAGTAGTTCACATCCCCATTTAATTCAAGATTTATGATTATAACACAGATATCTTAAACTGTTAGGGTCGACTCTGGTAAGTTCTGTAAGTTGCAAGGGCATATATATATTTTTTACATGATCATATATCAATTTTAACTCTATTTTCCTTTGAAATGAACACTTAATAAATCTTAAACAAATATTCAGGGCTGGGAGATCACAACAGCTTCATCAAAGTTGGCAGAATGCCAAGAAACCATCTTAAACCTTGGGAAACAACTCAAGGCACTTGCCTCATCTAATGAAGTAGCACATTTTGACAAAGTTGTCTCCACAACTAGTACTATGGCCAATCCAACCCAGAAGAAGAACTTGATCAAACGATCCTCTCTACGCAATCATATGCAAGCTGAGGATGAAGCTAAAGGGGGGAAACATAAGTCTGTCCAAACTGAAGAAACTAAAAGTGATAAAGATGTGCAGAGGCCACCCGTTCTTCACTCTGAAAACGAAAAAGTTATGCAAAGTCCTAGTAATGCTCCAGAAACATGTCTCACTTCAGAGCAAAATGATAGAAGCAAAGTCACAGGATCTATGGCAATTGTACCGAGTAAAAGACAAGTAGGCTTTGGTTTTCTGAGGAAGCTGCTGTCAAGACGACATAAAGGGAGGGGTAAGGGAGCTAAGTTATTAGCCAAAGCATGAAAAAGAATGATCTTGCAGAGAAAGTAAAGACATGCTTCTGGTGTAACATGCTTTTGCCTTTTATTAGATTCTGGTGTAACATGTTTTTATCTTTTATTGGTTGACAATGACTTCTTTGATTGGAGATTATCGAGGTTTGGAGTTGAGAACCAAAGAGTGCGAGAGAGGTTTGGTGATGTAAATATATTTGGTGTAAATACGTTCATTGATTCATTGGTATTTGAGATTAAGCTGTCCTGATGATATATGGAATGGTTTTGTTTGAGTAATCACTCACTTTAGTCACTAAAGACTAAATTTGAAATTCAATGTAATATTAACCGTTAAGTAAAGAAATTATTAAATAAATTCTTAAAATATCAAGACTTTAAATTTAATTATTTTTTTGTCATTTTAGTCTCTAAATATATATTAATATTATCATTTTAATTTTTGGTACTAATATTAATGAGACAATACTTTTCAAATTCAATCCGAACATTTATCCGTTTTGTTTGTATTTACTCTAACAAGTTATTCTTCTTTGTTAAAACATTGGAATAAGCTTTTTATAGAGTATTATTTTGAATAATTTGTATATTTGTTATAATTTTTAAAACATACCTTTTTAATTAAAATTATTTTCTTTGAGAGGAAAAAACACAAACAAGTTTGACTAGTTTATATTATATGACATGTCAAACGACCAAAATCATTACATGGTGAGGAAATGCAACGAGCCTTTAACATCTTCAATGTACTAATAACTAATTTATTTATTCTCATTTATTTTCTCAACTTCATTCTTACGATTTTACTCGTTTCGAAATAATGTAGTTCAACAAAATATAATGAGTTAAAATTTAATAAAATATGAAATTTATAGAACCCTTTTATTTCAAACAGTGAGAGTTAGTTTTTTCTTCCTCACCACCACCTAACCTCCTCTGACCAGTCTTCACTCCATTTTTTTTTTCCAGCCACCGCCTTTAGTTTCTCCCTTAAAAATCCAGTTTCTCTATTTTCGCTCTTATTAATATCTACCTCAATCACATTTCTCCTTCCAATTAAACTTATTAGAACTGTATACAAATCACTTTAGTTACTTTATGCAACACTACTCCAATTTGTTGCCTTTTCGCGAGTTATACTGCACAACATTGTACTACTTGGATTCACTATGAATTGTTCGTGTCGCCTGTGTTTCAGTTGTTATTGTACAAACGACAATCTAAAAGAAATTATAAAGGAAAGAAAAGAAGTGCAGAATAACCCAAGACTTTATCAAGGTTTCTTGTAGGAGGGTGTAAATACCATATGTATTGTGTTTGAACTTTTAGATAAGTTAATATTTTAATTGTTTAGCTTTGAGTGTGCATCTCTGATTTATTGTTGTTTATTTTGTTTTGCACTGTTGTCATCCCCTTCTTTTTGGCACGTTTAGCATTTTCAATGAATAAAGACTTGAGCCCTAAAATAAAAAAAGAACATTAGCACCTACTTGTATGTCTTTTCAAAACCTTGAAGTGTATTAAGAATATATTTTCTAGCACTCTTTTTAACACATTTTACTATAAGTTAAAATATATTAAAAAGTACAAAATTAAGAGAAAAACTTGTTAAATAAGAAGACCCACAAAATTTTATTTTATATAAATATAATATAAGTTATTTAATTTAATATTCTAAAGGTAATATTCTGGTGCGTTGAATCCAATGAATGATGCATAATTGACTAATTGGGTCACTCACACAAATGGATCATCCCGCTATCTGTAGTGGCTTGATTCGTGACAATAGTGAGGGATGGATTTGTGGATTTGCTGAGAAGGTTGCGAGATCAACTTCTAATGTTGCAGAACGGTGAGGGGGTCGATAGTTTAAACTAGCAAGAATGAAGAACTTCAATGCTGTCGAGATTCAGATGTCAGCGATATTAAATACTTGTCTAATGGCAGTAGTACTAGTTGGAGCTTTAATCAAGCTATTCGCAAGCTGGTAGATGGGAATTATAAGGTCAAATTTACCCACATTTACATAGAAACCAACTTGGACAAGCGGAAATTAGTACGTAGGGCCAGAGAATTTTCAGTGGAACAGTGTAGCTTTTAGGCCTATTTAATAGCTCTTCAGATCAAATTCTATGTTTAACGTTTTTCACACCCCTTACCATATTTAATACTGAAATACCCTTATTGAATATTTCGAAACATGTAAAATAAGAACAATTATAGAATATAAATTGTTAAATAAGAATATACAAAAATAAAAACTATCATCACATGAAATATGTAAAACATAAAAAAAAAAAAAAAAAAAAATTGGAACAAAAGAAAAAGTCCAAACACAAAAATTAAGGTCCAGAGAAAGTACCAAATAAAAATTAATAAATCAAACTTTAAAAAAAATGTACATAAGACCATTTTAATAATGCTTTTCCAATTAATTTAATTTTGACAAATTATCATAGATAATTGAGATAATATATAATTATAAATTGACAAATAAATCTACAAGAAATCACTTCATATAGTAATTAACATACTATTCTATTCTAATCTATAGAGGGTAATCTTGTCAAAACAAAAAAAAACTATAGAGGGTAATCATCATCTAATGAAAGAAATCAAACTTAATCACTGATTTAAAAAATTTCATACAATCGAAAAATTAATTAACACCTTATTACACCAAATTACTAAGTATAATACAAATGTCATCATAAATACATAAATTTGTATCATTAAATTACTTGAAAAATATTTTAAAAAACTTAATATATGAGCATAAACATAAAATAATACAGTAAACTAAGGAATTATTGACTCACTCCTTTCGGGGATAATGGGGTTGAGTCGTACCAATATACCAATTAATTAGATAAATATACAATCCATCCTTTAACTTCAAGGGTTAGACATGGATTACCTATCACAATTCACAACCCAACTGAATCTAATATTAATCTGAACCAAGACAAACACTCCCCTAAATTCATCGCTTTCATACACAAAAGATGCTAAACAAAAACAGTCGAAAACATATTAATTATATTTCATCAAATACTAGAAGAAGAGTCGCAAGGCCTTTCGATTTCATAAGCAAAATGGAGTAACACTTAAATTCAATTGAAACAAAATCTGTAACACGAAAACTCTAAACAAAAAAAAAAAAAAAGAGCATCCTCGGAGCGAAAGTTTTCCACAGCATAAAACATGAACCGAAAGCACAATAAGAAACGATAGCCTAACGGTAAGACTTCTGGAACCTGGCGCGGGCGCCGCGACCGCCGAACTTCTTGGGCTCGCAGCGGCGGGGATCGGCGACGAGCAAGGTGCGGTCGTACCTGACGAGGATGTCCTTGATCTCCTTCTTGCTCTGCTCGTCCACGTACTTCTGGTAGAAGGCCACCAGGGCCTTCGCGATGCTCTGCCGGATGGCGTAAATCTGCGAGGTGTGGCCGCCGCCCTTCACGCGGATTCGCATGTCCACGCCCGCGAACCGGCTCTTGCCGAGGAGGAGGATCGGCTCGAAGGCCTTGAACCGGAGGATCTCCGGCTCCACCAGCTCGATCGGGCAGCCGTTGATCTTTATCAGACCGCGCCCTCGCTTGCAGTACGTCACGGCCACCGCCGTCTTCTTCCGCCCGAAACATTGCACCTGCTCCAGCGCCTCTTGTGCCTGCGTCATCGTTGTTGTTGATTCTCTCCAACACAAAACCCTAATCTCAAGTGGGATTGGGAGAGGGGCGTGAGGGAGCTTATATATGTATCAGGGTTTTTGGATCTATAACGATTGGGCCTATTTGCAGGCCTTGGCCCACTATACACATTGTATATGCATGTAGCTAATATTTTTAATTATATAAATTAGTCCATCAAAGTGTAGTTACGTGATTTGTATTGGAGAGGTTTTCTTTTATATGGAAAAAGGTAGACTTTCTTTCTATTTCTTAGAGATGGCAAAGTGGGCCATGGCCCGCAGGCCGGCCCGTTGGCCCGCCAACAATTGGTGGGCTGGGCCAAGCATTTCAACCTGCCAACCCGCTAAGCCCGTCCCGCCAAGCCCGCTAACCCGCCGGACCAAATAGCGGCCGACCCGCCACAACCCGCCGGCCCGCATATATATATTTTTTAATTTTCTAGTAATTTTGTAAAAATTAGGAAATATTGTTCATTAAACAAACATACCTTAAAAGTGATTCAAATGTATGAAGTATATTAAATCAAAGAAAAATGTAGTGGTATCATAGTACCTCCCATGATACGGACCAAGTTCGTTTCCCTTGATGTTCACCAAATGTTAGATTATTTAATCTAATATTGACTCATATATTTAAGAAATAATATCTAATATGATAGTTGTTAGATTTAAAATATATTAAAAATTATTGGAGATTACTTTAAAGTTATTAAATTTGTTCTCTTCCTTCTTTCTCACTTCATTAAGAACAATTTTGATAATAAAGAAAAGTAATTTAATAAATAAATAAATAAATAAATGAAAGTTATGGAAGTTAAGAAGTGGAATTTTTTCGCAAGAAATTTCGCAGGAAAATTTCCTGCAAATTTTAAAATTCGCAAAAATATATTATCCACGAAGGTATTACCTGTAAATAAAATTTCGCAGAAAAATTTGTAGGAACAACGTTTCCTGCAAATTTTTATGAAAAATTCGCAGAAAAAGTCGCATGTAATAAGATAAATTCTAGTAGTGAATACTTGACTCAAAAAACCTTTTTTCATCCTGGAGTTTTGAAAAACGTGATATTCGAATACATGTTTTATTTAAATGACTGGAAATTGTATTTGAATGAACAAATTTTATTTGCATAGTTGGATAGTTTATTCAAATGATTTGTGTTCTATTTGAATAGCTGATAAACCTACAATTTTTTCAAATTGACATCATTCTCATGTCTCCAACGAGAAAAAATAATTCGAGACAAAAACAAAAACTTATGCACTAGAATCTTGAACAAAACCGTAGATGTAACTGGCAAATGAATATCTACTTAACCTAAAGAAAAAAAGGCTAACAAAGAAAAAACATGGAAGTTAAAAAATGCAAAGTCCTATGTTTTTCTGTATCAATAAATAATATAACAGAAAATTAAGTATTGGAGAAATTATAGCAATCAAAAACTAGTTATAAAAAACCTTAGTATAATTTCATTAGTCCTGCAAGTTATTTTATTCAAATAAACAACATAAACAACAATTCCACTTAGTTGTATTTTGGTATGTAACATAATGGTAAAATGTGATTTTTAATTGATTATAATTGTTTTCCTCTTCATCCATTCAAACTAAAAAAAAACTTTATAAAATTATTTATCTTCTATTTCTTATCTATTTCTCTTAAACCAAACAATCGTATTTTCATCTTTTCTCTACTCACTTATTTCTCTCTCTTCTATTTCTCTTCACTCTATTTCTTACCTATTTCTCTCTTCACAACCAAACATACACTAGTACAAAAAGGGTAATTTATGTTGGTTATTTTAAGCTTTTTACGTCAAAAAAGGTTTGACGTAAATGCGGGAGACGTAAATTTACGTCGGTTGTGATAGCCAACATAAATTTTCGTCAGAGATTCACAAGAGCCGACGTAAAAAAGTTGTAAACAAAAAAAAAACATAACGCGTGCAAGTAGAATGGGCGGTTCTGCAAGAAGAACGGGCCGTCCTCCAAGCAGAACGGGTCGTTCTGCTTGGAGAATGTCCCGTTCTGCTTGGAGAATGTCCCGTTCTGCTTGGAGGCGTGCTGCTTGGAGATCTACCCAAATGCGAAGAATTTTCTACTTAGTATTAACTAATATATTAAGAAACGATGATCCACCCAAACGCGAAGAAGAGGATAATATTAACTAATATATTAATAGATCAATACATACATTTATTTTCAACATATTAGCTAATATATTAAGAAAGGATTTTCCAAACTAACCTCAAACGCGAGCCCAATGCAATCGGTCAAATACTCAAGAACCACCCAAACGCGCAAACGTACACTCAGATGCAATACACTCAAACGAAATCTTAACTCAAAAGACTTGAATTGCACATACACGCAAAGCTCTCTTGTTTAAATATTGATGTGCGCGTGAAGAAATTTGAAATTTGTAGATATTTTACGTTGGAGCTTGTAGGGGCTGACGTAAATTGGAAAATCTACGTCGGACACAAGCTATATCCGACGTGGATTTTCTTTTTTATTTAAAAAACTGTATAAAATAATGAAAACAAAAAAAATGACATTTGTTTTTTATGTACAAGTCATTGGAACAGAAAAATAAAATGGAAGCATAATATTATTCTAGTAATTTTTTAAAAATTAGAAAATATTGTTCATTAAACAAACATAACTTAAAAGTGATTCAAATGTATGAAGTATATTAAATCAAAGAAAAATGTAGTGGTATCATAGTACGGATCAAGTTAGTTTCTACCAAATGTTAGATTATTTAATCTAATATTGACTCATATATTTAAGAAATAATATTTAATGTGATGGTTGTTGGATTTAAAATATATTAAAAATTATTGGAGATTATTTTAAAGTTATTAAATTTATTCTCTTCCTTCCTTCTCACTTCATTAAAGACAATTTTGACAATAAAAAAAAGTAATTTAAAAAAGTAGATATTGACTACGTGATCATTAAATTTGTTAAGTAAGATTTCACTTGACAAATTATATAAAATAAATGACACCCTTAGTGTCTAGAAAATTTTTTCCTTCTATATGTATTCTAATAAAGTGTAGAAAATATTTATTGTATATACACCACATATTAATAAATATTATATTTACCAAAAAAGTAAATGTTGGTAAATAATAACAAATCGTAAAATTTGTTAAGTGAGATAAAACGAGAACTATTTGTGAAAATATTTTCTAGTAATTTTGTAAAAATTAGGAAATATTGTTCATTAAACAAACATACCTTAAAAGTGATTCAAATGTATGAAGTATATTAAATCAAAGAAAAATGTAGTGGTATCATAGTACCTCCCATGATACGGACCAAGTTCGTTTCCCTTGATGTTCACCAAATGTTAGATTATTTACTATTTCTACTTTCACTTTCTAGTAGAGTTTCTATATTTATTATATTAAAAGTATATTACACATTCCTCTTCTAATAAATATAAATATTAATATATGATATTTTATTTATTTTTAAATCTTAAAAAAAATATTATCAAAATGTCTTTCATCCCATTATTCTCTCATAAATATAAATATTACACTGCCTTTTTTTGTGTGTTAAAATAAACACTTTTCTCCTTTAATAAGTACAAATGTTACACTTTAACAATTTATTTCTTGGTGCAAAGAAAAAACAATTTATCTTTTGATTTATATATTTAATTATTATTTTAAAAATTATTATGAATTTTCTAAAATTAATTGTATATTTAAAATAAGTATTTTAAATATTAAAATAATTTTATATTTATAAAAATAAAAATAATATATATATATAATTATAATGAAATTAAAAATGGTATATTAAAGTAATATTTAATTGATGTAGTTAATATAATATTTTATAAATATTTAAACAAATTAATATTTTTATTATATAGTATTAATTATAT